GTTACTCCGCACCCGAGCTCCTACCCATGCTCCCTCCACGTCCGGGGGCGCCTGGAGTAGCAGCTACAGAGTAACGGCTGCCCGGGGGCCGCCTCGACCCTGGACGCACCTAGGGTCCCGCCGTCCGGCGATGGAGAGGAAACCAGGTGGTGGTGATTACCGGGCGCCGAGGTTTCCCTCTCCGCTCTGGAATCGTGGGGGGGTGGGTGAGACAGGAGATGGGGGGCTCCGACCGAGAGGCTCGGGGTGACAGCCCACCCACTTGCTTCTCGCCCGCGGGAGGGGACCGCGTCCCCCCAGCCCCGCAGCCCCCCGAGGGCAGACGTGAGGCTGTGACCGTCCGGCTGGCTTTGTGCTGGGAGCCAGGCTTGAAAATGACTCGGTGGGCCGCCTGGACGGATGATTGGAGGTGATGGGGCGGCGGGGGGAGCTGTTTTCTCTCTAGTTCTTGCTCCCCGGGCCCCTTTCCGCTGGCTGCGGGCGGGTAACTGAAAGTGGTGAAGTTTGACAATCAGAGGAGTTGTCTTAACACAGTAATCACACCACGCGCCCGTACCTTGAGGGCTCGGCCGCGGTCCTCGCGACCCTTCCCAAAGCGTCGCTTCCCAACAAACCTCTCCCGGCCGAGCCCTGACGGCGGAGCCGCACCCCGCCCCCAGCCCCGGCTCCGGCGGACGACGCGGCAAAGACGGGAGGAGCAGCGAACGCCAAGGAGCCTTCCTGGCAAATCTGCGTTCTCAGTCCCTTTGGATCTTTCCACGGGCTGCTCCTTTGGTAAACGCATCAACAAACACCGACCACAGACAGATCCCAGCAGCCGTGGGGAGAACTGAGGCAGGAGTAGGGAGTGCAGGGCAAGCAGCGGGCAGAGAAGGCGAGGGGCAAGCAGATTATGATACATTTCCTCCAATTAACAGACTTACAGGAGGGGAGACCTCGATTTGTGCATGAAATGCATAGCCTGAAGTGAATAAGACTGTGAAAGCAGTATTTGAGGAGGTTAACCTGGACTGGTTGGAGTTAAGGGGGGGTGGGGGGAGGCAAATATTTCTGTTTGTGCCCTCCGGCTCTTCCCAGCACCGGCTGTCAATCCCGACGCTTGTTATCCTCACAAGGCTTCAGTTTGTTTGCCTGATCTCAGCAAGGTTTTCTTCCACAAGTAGAACTATAATTGCTATAATTCTACTGTATCATTTGGATCATTGCAGTATTGTTGTTTTCTCTCCCTCTTTCTCTCCTCCTAACACTGCAATAACGCGCTCCAGTGTTAAATTAGCAGGTTGCGGAAGACCATAAATGAATGAAAGTTTGTTTAAAAAAAAGAAATTAAATAAATAAAACAGCAAAATGACTTGGCAAAGGGGATATCACATCACAGAGAATCCTCGCGTGTAATCAGGACTTATTGTCTTCCCTTCCAATGGCTTCCAAATTGGTCGCCAGACTCCAATGAAGTTTATTTCTATTGTTTAAATATATGTTTTGAAGAGGTTGAGCATAATTTAAGGAGACCTGAGCCGGCCGGTGTGGCTGGAAGCCCATCACAGCTTTATTTATCTATGTGTATATTGCACAATAAATTAAAACATCTCAAATGAAAAGTGTGCAAGGTTAACTCTCCTCCAAACATTTCTTTTTGCTGGATAATAACATCTGACTGCCACCCCCTTATCCCGCATTTCTTGCAAATATAATTTTGAAACTACAATGTAGAATTAGCTCTCACCACAGAAAAGAAAGGGGTTTCTTCCATTCTCCTCTTCTAGGTAATTATTATTTCCAATCCTGGGGACAAGCCTCGTTCTTTTCACCATAAACAATAGTTTTGAACACCTCTGACCCTCACTTCCGGCCATAATTGTCATTTTTATCTTAGTGATTGATTTTAAAAGCAGATGAACTGCAAACCCTTGTTTTCCAGGCAGCCCAGGAAAAGAAAACCAACAGTTACAGACCTCAAAGATTAGAAACCAGGAGTGGTGAGTAACAAAGTACGAACGTGAATAATATTATTACTAAAATGAAATTCCTTTTGATTAGTGGGTAAAAGAAAGTGGAGAAAGTGAGGTGAAAAGAAAGCAAAGTGGCATCTTGCCGACAGTGCAAACATGAAATTGGCTAAACTAAAAGTTCTTTTATACATAGTCCTATAGCCCAATCCTGAAAAGTCTACTTACTCAACAAATTAACTAAATTCTTCTTAGATATTAGAGGCATCATTTTGTTTTCTAAACTGACATGTAGGATAACACACAGATATCTTAAACCCATCTTCTGATTAGACACTGTTTGAGATACCAGCTGATTGTCTCCCCGTGGGTATGTTAGAAAAGTTCTCTTTTTAAAAAAAAAAAATAATAATGATATTTCAGGAATAGCAAGAGCCAACTGCAGATTTTGAACTTAGGTGCTGAATTGTGACAAAGATCATTTCAGGGCCACTGGGTGTAAAGGGAACAGAGTCGGGCCCTTCTCCCCGAAGTGAATGAATGTGCGTTCCCAATAGCGTCCTCACTTGGGAAGATTGATTAGAAAATACCAAAAATACACAAGATAAAATAACAATGCTAGTGTTTGCACCAGGTTTCCCAAAGAAAGACACTACATTCCATTAATAGAATTAAATTCCAAGGGTCATTAAGTCAGAATCAGAAATTCTATGTTAACCTCCACTTTTGCAGTGGATGATTAAAATTAGAATACACCCCAGCAGAAAGTCCGACTTCTTTAAAAAAAAAAAAAAAAAAAAAACAGCTGCAGAAGGGGGAGGAGGGGGACGGAAGCTAAGAAATCTTCCACCGAGTTGAAACCCCGTTAGGCTCTCAGAAATGATTTGTGCGTTTGTGGCTCTCTTAACACGGTCTTCTTGTGGACTCATTTTCAACCCACTCCTTGCGTGTGACGGAGTGTGACTCTGAAGTCACGGAGGCACCCGCAGCCGGGTCTTGTAGATTTCCGACGCGGGGCCCGCTGGGGAGGGAAAAGTGCCCCTGTCTCTCCCAGTGACCAGCCGCAGGGATGCCCGCGAGGCTCCCGCGGCTGGAGGCTCGCTCCGAGGAGACCGACGCGTCTTTCCCCGTCTCGGCTCCGTCGAGACTCGCACCCTGGGAGTGGGCGCTCAGGGCCGGGGAGGGAATCAGTGCGCAGAATGTTACTTTAAAGCTAAACGGGACTGTATAACAGAGAGCTGTGGGTGAGACTAGAAAAGGGAGAATGCAGGCAAACACAGAAGATATCAGGGGGGCCTTGGAACAACAGAGAGGGCTTAAAAGAAAATCAATGTCAGAGAGAGCTCGGGTTCTCTTTCGCCCCCAACTCCCATCATCCAAGTGTAGGAAAAACTGGTGAGACTCAAAAAGCCAGAGAGAGCGCGGAGACAGATGGACAGACTGACAGACAGACAGACAGACAGACACACACACACACACACCCCGAGAGACACAGATCCTCTTCGTCTAGCTCTTAATAGTACTAGTAATATCACATTAGTATTAACATTATTGATGTGCCTGTTCCTGACCCTTCATCCCCTCCAGTTGTGTCTTGAATGCTCCTGCCAAGCCAGCCTGATCTGTCTGCCACCCACCCACCAGCATCCAAGAGTTATGCAGATGTTTATGGCTGAAAAAAATTCCAGTTATGCATCCTTGTATTTTTAAATACTGACTGTAAGTGATTCAAGTATAATCCTTTGTAAAACGCTTTTCTCTGACACATTGAAGGGGTTGAGAGAGGAAAACCCGGCGTGGATTCCCCCTCCCCGGCTCCTCTCCCACCCACCACCCTCGCCCCCACCCTGCCAGCGTCGAGGCCCCTGGCTATCTCTTGGGCCCTGCACCCAGAAAAAGAGGGCACCCGTGCTAGCCCCTCGCCCGGGCTCGGCACAACTTCAGTCGGAGTTGGGTCTCGGTTCTCAGCGCTGGACGCGCTGGAAGCTGTTTGGGGAAGAAGAAAAACAAGTTCTCTCTCCCCGAGGTTCGCTCTCTCGCCTTTGCCAGGAGGGGAGTTCAGAACTTCAGGCGTTGAGATTTGGTTGAGGCCGAACCTGAGTCCCTCCCACCCTAGAGCTCTCAGGGCTCCGGTTAGGTCCCGCTCCCTGCACGCGCGATCTGAGAGTGTCCAGCTTCAGGGTGACGGCCTAACAGAGGCGAACTTATGGGGAGAAGAGGGAAACGTGTCTGGGGAGAAGGGGGAGACTCTCGGGGCCTGTCCCCAGCTGCCCTTTCTCGCAGCCCATATTCGCCCGTCCCTTTCTGTTCTGTAGATGCTCTAGAGAAGGCCGCGCGCCTTTGGCAGACCTTTGTCTTTTTTTTTTTTTCCAGACCTTTGTCTTTAAGGGGACTTTTTGCAGAGTTGAAGACGGTGATGTGACCCTACTAAAAAGAGAGCAACCGCCGGACTCAAGGAGAGGACTAACAGCTCAAGACGTTGGGCCACAAGAGAACACTGAACGCCCCAACGACAGACTTTGCCGGCGGCCGTCACTCCGGCGGCGCGTCCGGTCTAAAGAGGATGGTGGCTGAGGGCCTCTAAAGTCAAGGCACTGTCCTGGGAGCGCAACATTGGTTTTGAAAAGGGCCAAATCCGTCCTTACGCGAGCCAAGCCTCAAGGCCTTGCCTCCAAGGGAGTGAGGTCCTCGGGTTAGTGGAAGGGGCGCACGCCGCCCAAATGGCACCCACTGGCCTGACATCCGAAGAAGCTAGAGCTTGGGGCTAGCCCTAAAGGGTTAACGGAGGAGCGGCAGGAACAGAATGGAGTATTTAGAAAGTTGCTAGTTGAAAACAAAAAATAAAAATAAAATCGGCTCGGGTGCGTGCCTGCTGCCGCCCCTCCTCCACCGCCGGCTTTTCCGGAATCCAGTCCGGGCTTTGCCGGGAGCGCACAGCCCGGAGCAGCCCGGCCTCTGGCGAGAGCCAATCAGAGGGCGCCTCTCAGCACGTGGAGGAGAGAGACCCCAGCGCTCCGCGCCCGCCGCTCACTACACTTGTTACTGCTTGTCCTGAGCGCCGAGAGGGCGAGCTCCGGCCGTAGGCAGGGCGGGAGCCGGCAGCCAGCGACCGAGAGAGGCCGAGAGGCACAGAGATCGCAATAATATCCACTATAACCAGCCATCTAACCCCACCCCCTCAACACACACCCATCCATCCCACCCGCCCCGAAAGGCAGCCCTCGGCCCGCTTCTCTGCGCCCAGGGGAAAAAACCCAGCCATGAGCAATCAGTACCAGGAGGAGGGCTGCTCCGAGAGGCCCGAGTGCAAAAGTAAATCTCCAACTTTGCTCTCCTCTTACTGCATCGACAGCATCCTGGGCCGGAGGAGCCCGTGCAAAATGCGGCTGTTGGGAGCCGCGCAGAGCTTGCCCGCTCCGCTGGCCAGCCGCACCGACCAGGAAAAGGCCGTGCAAGGTAAGGCTGTGCTTGCCGAGCCCCTGGAAAGGGTGCTAGGCACTGGTTTGGATGTGTGATGTTCCGGGGCCAGGGGCCTGCGGCTGTCCAACTGGAGACAGAGGAAAAAAGAGGGAACAACTCTGAGGCCTGGTACCTCAAAGAGCGGTAAACCTCTTGCCAGGGGATGTCTCTCCCTCCCTCTCTGCTTCCAGAAAAAGCAGAGACCAGGCTTTGCTTCGAGGGCCCTTAGATTCTCGGTATTGGTTCTTAGGTCGTTTAAATACCCCCTTTGGTGGCCTTGCGGGTGCTCTGAAGAGGGGCGACGGGCCAAGAACAGCAGGAGCCGGGTGGACTCTTGTAAGAACTTGGTGAAGAGAAGAACCCCAAAAGCTGTGAATGGGGACTCCAGGCGGAGTGCGCCTTGGCCTTTCCTCTTGGGAAGATTTCTTTATACGAGGTGTTCTGCTTTTTTCTTCTTTTTAAAATTGTAGATTACTTGTGATCTTTTAAACCCAAGCTTTGCAGAAAACATCTCCCTGGGATTCCCCAAATGTTCCTTCTTGTATCTGAATTGTATGAAATGTGCGGCTTCTGGGTGCTATTTTTTCCTCTGCTTTTTTTTTTTAAGAGTTGAGATGTTTAAAGGCTCTTTTCGCCCCTAAAATTAAAAAATTCCAGAACAACTGTCGTTTTGCCCCAAAACCGTTACACCCAAGTTTCGCCTTTTAAAATCTGTAAACCAGCGGTCCAGCCGCAACGTCACTTGGAAGACAGGAGCGGTTAGCGGGGAAGGGGGCGTTTAAAATAAAACTGACTTTTTCCTTTTCTTTTTTTAGTCTGCAGTGGCACCTGTGCCAGGCGCTTCCTCGAGGGGAAGGAGCGCTCTGTGCCTATTGCACCCCCTTACGTCCCCACCCAGGCCTTTCCGAACCCATTTTCTCCAGGACGATTTTTCTGGGCGAGGAGCCCCTGCCCCTCCTGCTGGGGGCTGTTGGGGCCAGGTCCTCACTCAGGGCCACTGGGCCGCTCCCTCCTTCCCCGGTGCCAGCCAGGCAGTGGCCCCTCTCGCCAACCCGCAGCCGGGAACGCGTGGCAGAGCTGAGGGCAGAGGTCCTGCGCAAAGTTTTCAGAGTGGTGGTGATTTTTTAAAAAGTTGTTGAATGTTTGCAGATTCCCTCTTGCCCCGAAATGGGAAGGGAAAAGGTGAAAGGGAAGACAAGAGGAAAGAAAAAGAAAACAATAAAGGAGGGAAGGAAGAAGGGGAGAGGAGTGCACAAAAAGAGAAGGGAAGGGAAGGGAGAAGAGAAAGATGCGGAAAGAATGATGAGACGGGGAGAGAGAGAAAGAAAAAGTGATTTAAAAATGAAAGGAAGGGCGAGGAGAGAAAGAAATAAAGGAAGGAAGGAAATAAAGGAAAGAATGAGAGAGGGAAAGGAAAGGACCCATAGAGGAGGAGAAAGGGGAAAAAGAAGGAAGCAAGGGCAAGGGAAAGAGAGAGATGTAAAGAAAAAGAAAAAGCAAGAAAACTGGGGAAGGAGGGGAGGGCTCGGAGTCTAGTGGCGCGGGGGGCGCCNCGTGGACCGCCGCCGCCGCCGCCGCCGCCGCCGCGGCCTCCGAGGGCGGGGAGCTGTCCCCCAAGGAGGAGCTGCTGCTGCACCCGGAGGACGCCGAGGGCAAGGACGGCGAGGACAGCGTGTGCCTGTCTGCCGGCAGCGACTCGGAGGAGGGGCTGCTGAAGCGCAAACAGCGGCGCTACCGCACCACGTTCACCAGCTACCAGCTGGAGGAACTGGAGCGGGCCTTCCAGAAGACGCACTACCCAGACGTCTTCACCAGGTACGCGCGAGGGGGGAGCGTGGCAGCAGCGGCTGGAGGGCGCGAGTGGGTCCCGGAGAGGGAAGGTGGGCGGGCAGGGTCCTGGGGCTGGGGCAGGGACTTAGCTCCTGGACTCATCCCAGGCCAAACCCCTGTTGACCAAAAACACCCTCCCAGCCTCTCTACTCTGGGCTCCCAAGTTTAGACTGGGATGTGTTTTGTTTTTGGTTTTGGTTTTTTTTCCCCCTTCCGGAGGTCTCTCCAGTTTAATTTTTTTAATTACAAGTTTTAGCTAGAGAGAGAAAAAGAAACGGCCTCTCCAAAGGGCGCCCGAACGCGCCACCTTGGAGACGTGCGCGCCCGAGCGCTCACACTCAGGGCCCCTGGCGCTGCAATCCGGAGTCCACGCCAGGTCCCAGGCGAGGCGCAAGCAGCGCTGCCGGCCCTCGCCGCCAGGGCTAAGCAAGGGCTATTTTTGGCCGCTGTGTGGTGCGCTTGCCCTCCCCGCCTGATGCCCCGGGAGCCTGGTGGGTATCAGTTACCAGTTACGCAGTTAGTGAAGATGCCCGCGCCTGCAGAGAAGGCCGTTAAAAAGATCCAAGTTCTGTCGTTTGAGGACTCCTGGAATAACCGAAGGAAGTCAGAACTGGGCAGTGTTTGGTCTGCGGAGGCAGCGACCAGAATCTCCCCTTTTCATCGCTGTCCTCTCGCCCTCCACGTACATTAAACCCAGTGTTGGTTTACTGTACGCGGGTTTACAGGGGCAGGCTTGGACTGCTGGCAGCCTGGCAGGCAGTAGACAGAACAGCTGGGGGGAATTTCCCCCTTCTGACCGGTGTCTAAACCCGGCTGTTTCTCCTGGATCCGCTCCATTCCCACTCACCCGAGTTTGGGGGGAAAGATGTACCTGTGAGACGACTGGGCCCCTGAGGGCCGGCTGATTCAAACCTGGGATGCCGGCCCGGCAGGGGGCCTTCCTCTCCCACCCCAAAGCTAAGGTCTGGCTCAGGCGAGGAGCCAGGTAAGGGCCAACTTTCCCCAGCGGGGAGGGAAAAAGGGATGGGAGTCAGCCCGGACTTGGGCTTGTCAAGCTGGAGCAACCCCACCTTCGCAGGAGCCGTGTATGACTTTTCAATGTGCATTTTAGTAGCCCCGGAAAGCTGCCTGCCCCATTTGAACCTGAGGAGAAATTGCTTAGTACTCTGGAGGCCTGAGCCAACGCTCAAGGGTAGTTGGTCTAGCAATTAATTGCCAAACTGTCTCCTAACCAGAAACGAAGAGAGTAGATCTGATTCGAGGCAAAGCACTAAACTTGATCATCCCCTGAGCTAAACTTGGCCCTCCCCTGTGTCATCCAGTCCCTTTATTATCTTTAAAAAAGAAAATAAATTCTAAAGTAATTGTCTCTATCAAATAGCTAACTAAGCAGCCAACCCGCTTTTTGCATTTGTCACACACATATAATTCAAAAGAAGAAAATGATGTGATGTCGCTTGGCACGCAGGTCTGCCCTTTCAGCTTCTCCAGGGGAACCAAAGCACACGAAGAGGGGTGGCTGCTCATCACCACCCCATGCCCACCTCTCTCCCACCCATGGGGCTAGTTAGAGCCCCTTGGCTCCTGCCGGGACCCAGGCAGGAGTGTGGTTTTGGGGTTTTAGATCTGCTGATGCTGACTGTAGCAGGAAGCAGCGGGAAGCTCTCCAGTGAACCAGTTTTCTCCCAGTCCTGAAGTTCCAGGTGTGGGCCAGGCCAGGTCCCAGGCTGGGGCAGCCCCCGCTCTTTCATATTAGTGATTGGAGAGCCAATTACTCTCGTCGCGCTCATATTTTCGGTAAACAGGTTGTAAGCCGTTTTACAGCATCTTAATGGTTTCCTATTTGCCTTAATTGTCGCAGTAATAACTGCAATGACGGGGTAGGGTTTCAGTTAAATTGACTTCCCCTGAGATGGGCAGGGTTTGTAGTGGGCACTGGAGTCAGGAGGTGCGCAGAATTTTGTTTAATCGAAAAATTACCCCACTGAACTCTTAACAAGCTTAACATATCTCCAGAGGGTAATGGGGAGTATGACCTAAGGGGGTGAGAGAGGGAGGGAGGCGGGGGAGAGAGAGAGATGGAAGGAAAGGCAGAGAGCTGGAGAGAGAGGAAGGAGAGGGGAGAGAACGTTTTCTAAAGAAGGCAGAAAGCAACAAGGAGGGCGAAAGCAATGTTTTTAGTTGAGTGGCGAGTTCTCCCATTTACTCTTAGGACAAAAGAGGCTATAAGCACTCTGTGTGTGTGTGTGTGTGTGTGTGTGTGTGTGTGTGTGTGTGTGTGTGTGTGTGTCTTATCTAACTCTGGCTTAAGAGTGAGAGAGAAGCTGAGACTTGTACAGTCAAGAAGTCGCCACTGTCACTCTTGAATATACTATGATGCAACAGTATAGACAACATCCTATATCTGGGAGTATATTGTGTTTTCACGTTTTCAGTCAAATAGAAGACACTCCCGTGTTGAAGGGGTGGTGATGCCCAGGTGTCTGGATGCCAGCGAAGGGAAGGTGGCTGACAGGGCGTTGCTGGAGCCTGCAGTGACCTCCTGCCTGTGTGTTGCTTTCTTATAGGGAGGAACTGGCCATGAGGCTGGACTTGACGGAGGCCCGGGTCCAGGTGAGCCGCACTGCGGAGAGGGAGGAAAGGAGGGGCGGTGGGCTGGGGGACGAGTGGAAGAGAGGTGGGTTGATGCATTAGGGGGTTCTCGAGAGACCCCCTTCATAAAATGAAGAGAAGCAGAATCAGAAAGATAAACCTAAACCCTCCTGCACAAAATCATATTAAAATATAAAGATCTGAGAGATGGAAGGGGAAGGTTTCTAGGTTTGGGAGCCTTGTGGAAGGAGTCCAGGATCAGAAGAGGGGTTTCAGGGTCCCCAAGACTGCAGTTCAGAAGCCCCCTGGTCCATAGCCCCTGTCGGAAACAATCTGCGAACTGACTTTTCCTGGTTGAAATAATAGGATGGAGCATGGATTTGGTTGTTAGACAAATCCGCTCAGCTCCAAGCAGGTATTTGGCTGCGATTAAGTCTCCAATCGGGCTTCATAAAAGCCCACTTAGTGCTAGAACAAACAGGGCCATTTGAAGGCAAAATGCTGTTTGATTTCCCCTCCGCCCGCACAGGAGCTGGCTAATGCTATTTGATTTCCCATTTTTTATAGCAATGAGCCCACATTGATCTAATAGGGAGTGAGTGCAATGCTATTAAAGGTGTTTGCAGCCCCATACCAGAGTGCATTTCCGAACCCAGGCCCCATAACCAAAGAGACGATCAACACTGGGCAGTCCCGATGGCCAACAGAAAACAGATGTCCCTGGGTTAGGAGCTGAGTGAATCACTTTACAGTCAAAATCAAGCGCTGATAAAGCACAATAAATTCCATATGGCTCATTTAATACACAACAGCTTCTTGCATTAGAGGGCTAATGATGAGGCCTGTCCCCTCCTTTCTGTTGACACATTTCTCCATTGTCAAACAGAGATGTGACAGCAACTCTGCATTTTCTGCTCAGGGGAACGAGTCGTGGGAAAGTTAAATAACTTTTAAAAAGAAAGAGAGCGCCCCCTCCCCTTCTCCTCTCTCCCTATTCACTGGAGAAGATGTAATTAAGTGAATATGAATTATTAGAGTCCTTTCGTTTACCTTTGGGGGGCCTCAGAGGTATTAATTCAATAATGAGGAATTGCAGGGGGACATCTTGATAATTGCAGTTGAGCCGAGAGCTGATCAGTCTCTAGAAGGTTTCCATGTTCTTTGAGGGCATTCTGCCTCCACCGTCCCCCCTCCCTTGACTCCTTTCACTGCCGTCGAGGAGTGGCGGGTATTCTTGTCTAGACAGATTTGGATACACAAAAGCTGCCCACCCAGCCTGGTCCCATCTAGTCTTAATTTTTTCAAGTCTCTGAATTTCCACACTGGAATGTTTCTGCAATTCTCAAATAGGTTATTTGAGGGCTGTGAAATGTGATGGATGGGCCCCCTTTTGGCAGAATTTTAAGTAATCAACCAACTTGGATTCTCAATTTTTCTTGTTTTAGGTGGCTATCTAGAAGTCAAACCAAACCTAGATACCAGTGCTAGTAACGACAGCCCCAGTGTGTATATCTGAAAGGCATATAGATGTCTTAAAATTTTAAAAAACATATACCTCTGGGATCATTTACATTATATTTTAATATAACTCTGTATAGCCCCAGAGTTCATTCTTAATTTTTAGACTTGTGCGCAGGCATAAACTCAGCCCTAAAAATACTAATGCCTTCAAGGGAAAAGGAGCGTATCTTCTCAGCTGTGGGTGTGATGAGCAGGTCACATAAAAATAATTTCATGCTCCTAAAAGTTATTTTTAGACCATGGTAGCTGCCACATTTCAGGTAAAGGTCTCTACTAAAACTGCTTTCTATTAACAATTAGGAAGATACCTTGTGCGGAAAACCTCCCCCCAACCTACAACTATCTTACTTAAATAACCTACCTAAACCACATCCCCAGAAGAAATAAAGGACCGGTTAGCTATGAAGATGTGCCCAGTCTCCAGGTATCCCCCACTCTGGTTTCTGTGTCCAAGTATCACTGTAGACCTGATCCATGCAGTCACTGCCTTCCTTGGTAGAACCTGGCCCTGCATGGAGGCCCTGCAGATAGCAGGCTGTGTACCCCACACTTCATTACAACTGCTTCCTAAACTGTATGCCTGTTCGCTTTATCGTGGGTATTTCTTCCCTCAGTCCCAGCTCCCCTCAAGCCCCCAAACATAGAGTTGTGCTCATAGGTGTTCAGTAAATATTTCTGGAAAGAGTAAATGAACCACCTCCCTGATTCCCTTTTCGACAGAGAGCAAAGATTTTGTCACCTCTTGGGAAAACCCGAAATAGGTGAAAAGAGCTGATTTGCCCCAGAAAGCTGCTGTGCATTCTTCTCTTGATGGCTGTCTGTTCCCAAGAGTCATCGCTGAATGCCAGCTTCCACATGCCTTATTTGACTCATTCCTCATCACAGCCTTATGAATAAAGTTTTATTATGCCCATTTTACAGATTAGAAAACTGAGGTTCAGAGAGGTTTAAGTGACCTGCTTAAAGACACACAGCAAGCAAATGGCAGCGCAGCCATGTAAACCTTGGTTTCCTCACTTTTAAATACAACAAACCATTTGTTAAATTTGGAAAGGAACCAGGCTAGTTAAAATGTCCACTGGAAAGGGTTCACTTGCCCGGTAGTTCCGGATGACTTTAAGTTAGGCCCTCTTTCTTTGCCTCTTTGGTCCCAGACGTGTCCTTGAACAACCTGAGGCCACAGAGGGGCGAGGTGGGCGAGGGCTGCAGTGGGAAAGTGGGAAGGAGGGAGGGCCCGCGGCGCGGGGGGAAGAGGCGGGGACCGCCGGGAGCGCCTACCCGGCCGGAGCGGCACCTACCCCTGCCTCTCTCGGCTTTGCAGGTCTGGTTCCAGAACCGTCGGGCGAAGTGGCGCAAGCGGGAGAAGGCGGGCGCACAGACCCACCCTCCGGGTCTGCCCTTCCCCGGGCCGCTCTCGGCCACCCACCCGCTCAGCCCCTACCTGGACGCCAGCCCCTTCCCTCCGCACCATCCCGCGCTCGACTCGGCCTGGACGGCCGCTGCTGCAGCCGCCGCCGCCGCCTTCCCGAGCCTACCTCCGCCTCCGGGCTCGGCCAGCCTGCCGCCCAGCGGGGCGCCGCTGGGCCTGAGCACTTTCCTCGGAGCCGCAGTGTTCCGGCACCCGGCCTTCATCAGCCCTGCGTTCGGCAGGTAACACGCGGCTTCGGGGAGTCTGTCTCTCGCATACACGCACAGAGGCTGGGGCCCTGGGAGGAGGCCAGAGATAGGGACTACACTCGTCTTTCCTCTTTGGCTTAACTTGAGATTTAGCCAAAGAAAATAATCTATAATATTGCTTTAAACAGTGCGGATCTTGAAGGGAATGACTTGGGGCTGAACGGCAAAGGGGCAGTGGCAACAACAGCAACCACAGAAATTGGAAGTGTTCAATGAAAGCTTTAAAGTACCATTTGAAGGCAGCAACAGCCCAGACCAAAGGTGGTGTGTGTGTAAAAGGGTACAGGTGTAGGCTGCAGAGCCGGGATGACTTTTAAACTTTTGCAAAAATCCTTCCTCATTCCCTAAAGCCTGGCAGCCAGAGGAATACAGCCCTGGGACCAAGGGCCCTCTGGGTCCAAAGAAATCTTTCTTCTTCTCCAGACTCTACCTTCCTTGTCATTCAAGTGATCCGCTGCCAACTATACCCTCATATATGCAACCCCGGACCCCCAGAGCAGCACAAGACAACGAACTCAAAGAAACGGTTCATCATATATTATAAATCCCTTTCTTTAAATGAACATCGAATGATGAAATTAAAAGTCTGTATAATCATACAGACAAAGAAACAAAGGAGAGATGTATTAAGTTGGAAAGTGCAGTGAAAATAAAACTGAATGCAGTTTCAATGATCTCTCTTTGGGAGAACAAAGAAATAATAGACTCATCCAACTGCGCAGCCACTTAACAAAAAAATCATCTTGGAGAAAATTTTCAAAAAAGACTCAGTAAAACTACTTTCTTGTAACAACCAATGAAGTAAACAGATAGTGCACTGAAGTGTAGTTAGTGACTCAGTTTACCTAGTGGAACCAGGGCATGTTACGCCCCCTCCAGGCCACACTTTATTATTTCCTTTTGGAAAAAAATGTTTAAGTCCTCTGTTCCTCGCCCACCACCCTCTCCTTTCCCTCTTCTCACAAGTGACTGGTAAAAGTTGCCAAACCATGGCTGGAGTACCAGCTGCGACATTTGGAGAGGCTGGAAAGAGGGGCGCGGTGGGGGTGGCACAAGAGGTGGAAGGTGGGCTTGGGAGAAGCGAGGGGCGCTCCTCGAGCCCAGGTGGGCTTATTTCTACTCGTGGAAACCCTGAGTTGGCCTTCCGGGGGGCCGGAGCCAAAGCCCTGGGAGCTAGCGGCGGGGGTGGTGGTGGTGGTGGTGGCATTGAGGGTTAGGGGCGGCTCGGCCCCTGCCGCAGTCTGGCGCGGTGCAGTGCAGAGGGTGGAAGCGCCGTGCGGGTTAATGCTGGCGCCTTCTGGAGGCGGTTTCGCGGACTGGAGTCCCAGACTTGGGTTTCGCCGTGCGCCGCACGCGGGGGGGGTGCTCTTCGGTACTGGTGAGTGCATGCGGCGCAGGCAATGCGCTCCTAGCGGGTCAGAGCTGCCTGGCGAGCGGAAATCAACAGGCGGGAGCCCCCATCCCCACCTCGCGGTCGTCGGTCGGGCTCTGACAGCTCTGCCCGGCGCAGGAGGGCGGCCGCGGCGGCGGGAAGGCTGGCGAGTAAGACCAGCTTTTCCAGGGTGAAAGGAGCCCCGGGCCGAGAAGGCGCTCTATAGAAGGAGTACAAAGTGCAGCACAGGTCTTTCTCAGTTTTAATCCCACTTTGTCCTTTCTTTCTCTTTTTCTTCTCCTCCCTTTCTCTCCTTTCTCTTTGTCTCTCTTCTCTCTCTCGGCAAATAGTATTACAGGCAGTTGGAGCTCCTAGTCTAAAGTACACTCCCTTCTTAAGCGAAAGCCCAGAATCCGCGCAGTGGGGCCGTGGGGTTTGGGGACTCGGGGCTTGCTTCCGCCACGGCTCTGGTCCCTCCAGGAATATCTGGCCCCTCAGTCTCTTTTCCCCTCTGTTCGTTTCCTGCCCTGGTAAACCCTTAGAGCGCCCCAGCCTCCCGCCCGCGCCTCCAGCTACTCCCCAGCCCCGGGGCCGGCCCGGCCCTGCGACTCTGCGCCCCAGCGGCGGCGCCCCTCTGCTCCCCCGGGGAGAGGCGGCGGGCAAGGCTGCCCGAGGCGCTGCGCGCAGCTCTCGGGGCGTCACCGCGCTCTTTTGCTCTCCCTGCAGGCTCTTTTCCACCATGGCCCCCCTGACCAGCGCGTCGACCGCGGCCGCGCTCCTGAGACAGCCCACGCCGGCCGTGGAGGGCGCAGTGGCGTCGGGCGCGCTGGCCGACCCGGCCACGGCGGCCGCAGACAGACGCGCCTCGAGCATAGCGGCGCTGAGGCTCAAGGCCAAGGAGCACGCCGCGCAGCTGACGCAGCTCAACATCCTGCCGGGCACCAGCACGGGCAAGGAGGTGTGCTAAAGGCTGCCCTCCACCCTCGCGCCCCGGGCGCGACCGAAAGGTCACCTCACTCAGCACCACTCAAGACCAAATGGAAACAGAGGACCAGCACACTCCCGAGACGGCAGTGAGAGAGCGCAGCCGCCTTCGCAGCAGCCTGGACGCGGGCGAGGCAGCCCTCGGCGGCGCTACCCGGACGTGGCACCTCCTCGGCTGGCTGTCCACCCGCCCCTGCCCCTGCCCCTGCCCACTTCGCTCCAACTCAAACGTCCACTCTCTCCCGTTCTTTTATTGAAAATATCGGGGAGGTTTGCTCCCTAAGTCACCTGGTATTGAAGTTAACAATTTTAAAACCCCAACCTCTCTGCCTCCTGACACCCCACTTAGCTTTTTTTTTCTTTCCTGATAGCATTTTGGCGCTCTAAGTTGATCTTCCCAGCGTGGCCCCAGCCTTCGGCGGCGGGGAAGCGAATGCGAATCTGTAAGATAGCTAACAGTGCACTTAACGGAAAGGGGCGTCTTGTTCTTGTTCTCTTCTTTATCATACATCAACCAAGGTTTTTATATCAAACCAAAGGGAAATACTCTGCTAGAATATGGACTGTTGAAGTCACCAAACTGTGATTATTGATTCTGTACATACCATTGTTATTAAAAAAAAGAAAAAGAACAGAGCTTTGTATATTTGAAATGTTATAACGCAATTGCACTCAGCGTGGTATGGTAAAAGTTTGTCCTCCTGTAGATTCTTACTGTGTTGTAGATACGGTAGGGTTCCTAGACAAATATTTATGTACTCAAGCCCTTTATTTAACTTATTAACTGTAGAGGCTTCCGAAACCTTCAAGATAAAGGCAATGGTACAGTACTTTTGTGTAATGTGTAATTGTTATCACTTTTCCTTGCTATCTAGTGGAGAAGTGTCACGCTCAAAATAAAAACAAAATATATGTTTAACAAAAGGAAGTGTGAATACTCTCTACAGGCGCTTGAGGGGACAGTAGAAGGGCCCTCCCCCCAGAAGACCGCGGGTGGGCTCCTGCGCCCCGACTCCCCCAGGGTTTATCTGCACTCCCGTTTTTCTGGCAGATGGCTCTGGTTTGAATGTGATCCTCAAAGGATCCGTAGGATTTCCTAAGAAGGGTTAAGATCGCCGCCGCCACGGAGCTTTCCACGTGCATCTCGGCTCTCCTGGGTCGCGTTGTAGTGGGAGCTGGGGGGCCTGGGCCTCGGAGGTGGGGTGGGCTTGAGGGAGGGTGGGTGAGTCTACTGTAGGCGTTGACGGTGAAGACAGAAATTTGAAGCGAGCGGGGAGTCTTAGCTGGGAGTCTTAGCTGGGAAGGCGAAGGAAACTGTTCGTGGAAAGTGCCACGTACAAGGAAGTGCGCAGTCCGAGATGACAGGTAATGGCGAGAGAGGAGCCCAGGCGCTGGCTTCCGAGGGGGCGGGCTACATGGTACATAGTGATGGAAAGGCAGCGAGGGGTATCCAAGTGGCAGATCTTAACTCGACAAATGTCATTACATCACTTATCCAGGCATTGGGAAATGTATATACTTGTAAAAAAAAAAAAAAAATCTAAACAACTCAGGTTTCGCGAGGAGACCCAAGCAGATTTGCAATCTGCAACCCCCTGGGCGCACCCCTCCCCGCGCCGGCGGCGACCGTAGCTTCTCCCTCCCCCCGGGCCCTGCCTGCGCCCCCCGGGTGACCGTTCGGTGTAAGCCCGCCCGCGGGGGCCGGGTCTCGCCAAAGCTCCCAGGGTGATGGGAAAGGGAAGAGAAGCTTAATTAGTTTCAATTTGTAGTAATTAGTGCGCTGGACCTTTGGGGAGAGGGGCAGGCACGGGAGGGGGGCGGCCGCGGCGTGACTAGCGTGGCTGTCGGAGCCGGTGCCGCCGCCCCGCCAGGCCTCCTCGGCCGCGGGCGTCCTCCGCGGGCGCGCCCGGCCGGCAAGCCGCAATCCCCCCGCCCGCCGGACACCTTGGGGAGCGCGTCCGCGGGGCCCAAGGCTGAGGGGGCTCCTCGGATCTCGGCCGTCGGGTCACCCGGCCGGGCCACCCGGCCCGGCCCTGGCTCGCGAGGGCGGAGCTCGCAAGCAGGGCCCGGCCCCGGGCACGGGGCGTAGGCTCCAACTACCTCTGCTCAGCCCTTCCAGCCGCACACTCCTTTCTCGGGGTTTGCAGGCTCAGCAGGAACTTTCTAGGACATTCCCCGAGATCTGAGTGTCTCAAGCCTTCACCAGACTCCACAGAGTCTCCTAGGGTGAAGGTCGAGTTCCTGGGGTGGACAGGGCTACTCTGGAGTTTGAGGTGGGGTGGGGACTGCGGAGCGCAGGAGGGGCCTGAGGGAAAGGGCTTTTTTTTGGGGGGGGGTGGTCAATATCAATTTTCCGTTGATTTTGGCTTTTGTTTAGGTAGGGCTTTTTTTTCTCCCCCCTCCAGGCTGCCAGTTGGATGGTATACGAGAAACAGTACCATTCTTCCTGTTAATGAACTCTTTTTTAAGTCATTTTTTCTCATTTGACCCTTCCATGGAGCAGAAGCAAATTGCGTGAAATTACCTCCAAGGATTACATTTATTACTGGCCAATGAGAACCCCGCTCCTTGTTTTACAAACTCTTAATCCTATGTCATTCTGATGCCGCAAACAAGCCCGGTCCTGGGCCTCCTATTCTTTCAACTTTCCCCAGCTGGAGGGACCTCATTCTGCACTTAATATTCCCCATAAATATCACACGCTAAAGACCCCCTGACTTCCAGCAAGTCCACATTAAACATGTGACATGTCACGCATGACAAACTCTGAGTATCTTTTCAAAGCAGCATTAAAAGCAAAGAAACCAATTTTCTTCTCCTTCCAAACCTCCCCAAGTGCTGAATGATGGGGATTGGAAAGAGCCACTGGAGCGTACTTAGGGGGATTTTATGAGATTTTCCAGAATGATTTAATCTTATTGTGAGCATTATTAATGAATGGCAACCCAATTTGGCCCCAATATCTGGGAACGCAGTCACAATGCTGGGAGCGGCTGACCCCCCTCCCCAACCTTAAGCAAACCTGTTCCACCCAGGAGGAGGCCATGCAGAGCCCAGGGGAGTTCAGGAGAGCCCCTGTGATGGGGGCATGGCTGTTCCCTATCACCCCCAGGCCCGAATGCCCCACCACCTGCTTTCCCAGGGCCACCCCCACAGCATCTTGGGGTGAGGGGTGAGGGAGCACGGTTCGGCCTCTGTGGGAAGGATGAAGGGAAAGGGCAAGTTAATTTGTTACATTTTCAGACAGGCTAGTCAGATCCTGAATGGGCCCGGAAAGGAAAGGCAAGAAGGGAGCAGTAGGCAGAGTAATTTCAGAAGATGTCCCTAAGAAGTCTTCAGTCACCAGGTGCCCATGAGCTGGGCTGTGGACAGTTAGGGAGGACAGCTCAGGTTTGTGTGGGGAAGATAGAAAGTGGATGAATTAGGGAGAGTGATCACCAAAGGGAAGGTTTCAGGACCTGAAACCCAGTCTTCAGTTAAAGTCATCAGTATAGGCCTCAGCCAGTTTCCCATTTTTTTTTCTATTACCACGCCCCCACTGGGGCAAACACTTATTATTGTTGGTTTTGATCTGTAATACCAAGAGACAAGGCACTTGTACCTCTGTTTTTCATACCGTTTTAAGTGCAAATATCTTACTAGAATGGAAAAGTGGCTGATGGTAGAGGGAAGGAAATTATACATGAGTTAGTTCAACTTGCTTTTAGAGGAAAAAATATGTATGTGAGCATGTGTGTATGTGTACACACAAAAGTGAGTGTGTCTGAATGGAAGGGGTCTTAAATGGGGCCTAAAATGGTATTTTGGAACACCGAGTTCCACGGAGCAATTGCTTATGTATTTAAGTGACAGTGGCAGCCTAGCTGGGGGGCGGGGAGAAGAAAAGCTGTTACCTGACTGGGGTAGGGGGAGGGGGAGAAGCATTTTTCAAAGGAAAAAGTTGTGTTGTCCCTGGACTTTATTAACAGTCCAGTTTGAAGTATACATTTTTTTTCTTTAAAGAAAAGGGAACGATTACCAGTTATACATTAAGAAATGTCATTCAGTCATTTTTATTCATTCTCCGGAAATCTTCGTAAAAGCCTGAATCATACTTCTACAAGCAGCAATTTTGTTAATCCAAGGGGTTATTACTCTGGGCCCTTATTAGGTTCTACACCACTGCCAAGCAATCCTATAACCCTCTCAAAAGAAGTTTACCTCCCTGTTATAAAACCAGTAGTGGTATTTATACTGTGCAATAATTAGTGTATTACTTGAATCCACTAACACGTTCATTTTATCTCTGCACAAAACCTCTAGTCTGCTTATAGAAAGCTTGTGCCTCCTTTGGTGCTGGTAAAGTGGTGAAAGAGTGAATTGAAGGCTGGTTGCACTTTCTCCTTTTGCCTCGCCTTAATTCCCATCTCTTTTTGCTCTCATCCAATTAGCACAGTGTATTAAGCGGTTTATCATCTCATAGTCAGCTATTGAGAGAAACAAGGCGAGCACTTTGCAATAGAACCTGCGCTCCTTTGACACCCTCAGGTACTTACATATTCCACTGTGCTATGAATAATAGAGGAAGAATGGAGCGCTAATTCCCTCATCAAAGAATGCCTTGTCTGCTGCTTTGCTCAACAACACCATTCTGATCAAAAGAAAAGCAATAAAGCTTAGCATAACAAAACGAAACCTACTTATTAGCTTAGTGGTTAAATTAATGCAGAGCCGCTGCTATTCAAAACCAAGGTTTGAAAACAGCCTCCAACAACCTGATAATGCTGCCTTCGGGATGAAGGAATTTTAATCTGAAATTTGAGGCTGGCTCAGATGAGTTCATCTATTAAACTGCTATAAGGAAGCTCCACAGCAAACCGTTCAATTAAGAAATATTTAGGTGAGCAGAGGGAGAGAGAGAGAAAGGGAAAGGCAAGGCGGGTTAAAGTCTGGGATGGGAGATGGGAGAACTGAATTGACGGTCAGTGAATTCTGAAGAGGATCTGGGGCTTAGTGTTTTTCATAAAACCCTGACAAGATAGAGAAGGCTGCTTTTGGAGCTTCCTTATCTCTGTATTACCTGCCAAACTAATTTCAATCTGTTCAAAAAGGCATGCTGAGGTGCATCTGTATGTGTTGGAGGTAAGAGGAGGTATGGGCTGGAGAAGGGGCTGGTGGTAGGGGCAGTGAATTCATCCCCTTTGACCAGCCTCTGCCAAACTCCAGTCTGTGAACTTTGACTTGCCCCCATGTCTTGGGCAACAGTCTCGAGACGAACTCCATCTGTTTCCTGGACAAATTAAAATCTTAATTGAGCACACTTTTGTAGGATTTTCGACTTCCGGTCTCCACATCCCCTTTTACACGAAGGAAAGTTGAGAGTTAGCAAGTTATGACCAAAATAAATGTTCTCCCTGTTGTTGGCGGCCCCTAAATGCAACAGGAAACAAAAAATCCAGATGGGTTCCTTTAGGGCCCTATTTCCAACTGGAGTGGATAAAATTTATCCTAGAGGTTTAGTCTGGCCCACAGCATTTAGAATTTTATTTTTTAAAATTAGTTGCCAAAGTTTAGAAATTGAGATACTTTATGGCCATATCTGGATTCCTGGCTCTTGAAAACGTGATCCCATGACCACCCAGGGCTCTGTCCCTCCCAGAATTGCTGAGTAGCTCCTGCCTCCTTTGGACAGGACATGGCCACTCGGGCTCACGAGGTTCTGCCACTCTCTAGAGGGAACCCGGCCTGTTTCACTTTTATCACCTGAGCTTAACACCCATGCCAGGGAACCTGTGAAGACACATGGGGAAGTTCCCCCTTTCAAAGTGGGCGGCATCTCAGTACCCACCCTACCCATGTGTTATCAGATGGTGCAAATCAAGAAGAAACCTTTCTCAGAAAAGTGACCATGCTGTGTTCCAATCTTCTAACAGAGAGATGCACTCAATCCTAAAGTTGCAACTTTCTATAAAATCCTGGAATCTTCAAATGCCTCCTGGAATTCTTAGGTGCCTCCCAGAAAATCTTCTTAACTAACCTGGAGTTACTGATCTAAATAAGAAAATATCAACCACTGTGTTAGCTTTTTTGGGGAACTGTACTAGGAAATGTCTGACTTTCTATGCACTTTCTACACAAATGGTTCCTGCCCTCACAATGATTACATCTAGATGCAGAGACAAAAAGCAGACCAGTGAAAAGCTGTTTCTGTCTCCTGGCATTTCTTGACAAGCAAGTTTTGTATTTGCCATAATAACCCCAGGTCCCAGAAATCAAGGAAAACATGCTTTCTCTTCAGAAAGCAAAGTGGGGGTGTGGGCACAGGAAGCATACATTAGAGAACCATCTCTAATAATCCTATATGGTAACACCAAGGAAAAAACAGACTAATCCTTAGTTTCCCAGAGCAGCCTGGGTGCTGCAACTTCTGACAGGTTGCAGAGCTTGAGGTACCAAGGCATTAATTAACTGATATGGTCATAAACCCAAAGTGTTTCTACTTAGAACCTGAGTGTAAGAAGAGAAAGGAGGAGAGGGTGATGGAAAGAAAAGAGAAGGCAAAGCAAGGTATAAGGCGGCATCATCTGTACTACATAATAAGTATGCCTTCACTAGGGTCCAGGCTGGGTGACCTTTCTCTTGCGGGGGCGGTTCTTTCAGAGGCCATCAGTCTTGCTCTCCCAAAGGAGACGGTACTGGACTCTTGGCTTAGCTCTCTTTGAACATACAAGTCAGCAAAGCACATTAGAAGCCATGCTTCATCTCTCAAAGGACCCAAAGTATATTGAAATGCCACTCAGAACACTGGGACATACATTATGCCAAGCATCTCTGAGCACAGACCTAATAAGTAGGCTGAAGTTGGGCAGGGGATGGTTTCCAGTCATCCCTTACTCCTGGCTGCCCCCTCCAGTCCACTCTTTGCACCTGATACAGAGTCACTGCAGCAGGTTTCCCTTTAGAAAACTTTATTCTGAATTGAAAAAAAAAAGCACAGCATATATTTCCTTTATGAAAACTAATATGTAGATTTTTTTCCACAGGTAGGTATTTTTTTAAAAATATAGCATAGCTGTATAAGGGGAAATGTTTTTTTAGTTTTTTAATCTTACCAAGAACGTAAGAAAGGAAAGATGGCTACATTGAAATATGTCTGGTTTCTGGCAGAAAGGCACCGTTCTGAAGAAATGAGAAAAAGAGCACCAGGGCCAATTAACCATCCCTCCCCTCATTTTTTTTGAATATAACACAAAGGTCCTTGCCCCGGCCTATACACATTTTAATGAAATGCTATAGGATATCAAATTATTTAACATGTGCTTTCCCTTTGTACAAATCTTTACCTAGATTTTCTATTTGAGGAAATAAAAAAGGCAGGTGAGCGTAAAACAACTGCCCAGTGCGCATGTGCAGGTTGGGCTTTGGAGAAATTCAGTACACAAGTAAGCTCTGTTTAATTTATTTAGTAAGCGCGCAGCTTCTAAATCTCCCCCCTTAAAGACTGAGAAGGACAATTGCTCCTGGAGCCAGTGGCCTGGGAAGCACTTGGGTTCAGACTGGGTTTAACCGGCATTAAGGCAAAGTGCCGGCCCTGCTACCAGGCTCTGTGAGCCCCTCTTTCTGGGTGCGCCTCTGCTGAAGGTCCTGGGTAGAAGCCACTTGCCTCCTAGCCACTCTCCATTTCTCTTCCCTCCCCGCCCCTTCCCCTAGAAATTCAGTGCTGAATGCCAATGTGAAGCAGCCAGTTCTCCCGGTGGTGTTTCAACAGCACAAAGTATATTGTCAGAGGAAGGTACTTCTGCTGTTCCCTGATGTTTGGTAGATTCAATACCTTTGCAGTTGCCCCTTGATAATCCCCCACCCAAGTCACAGCCACACAAACATGATAGTAGTTCCACAGGAAAAGCGATGCAGGAGAAGCGGCCGGGGCCATGATGCAGGTGCCAAGGATGTGGGTCTTCTGTCCACCGCCCCTGCAGGTCCACTTCCTGGAAGCCCTCAGGACCATACAGCACAGTCGGCGAAGAGTTTGCTGAGGTTCACTTCGGAATAGCCACTTTGGGACAAGAACTGCTCTGCTGTGTTCTTGAGTTTTCTATAGTCCTGAAGAACTTTGGGAGTAAGAAACTGCCTCTTCAATTTATCTAAAAAGAAATAAAAATAAAAGGATTACTAGTCTCAGAAGCAGCTTCTTTAAAAAGCATTCAGTATTTCTGAAGCACTAGAGCAGGAGCTGTGAGTTCTGTTTGCAGCTCCAGGTCTTAGATGTCCTCATGGTCCTGTGGCTGGTCTACCCCTGGGGCCAGTCCCACGCTGGGGGAGAGGGAACCCAGAGAGTCCTCTGTAGAAGATTTTCTTCCTTCCCCCTACCTGCCACTTCTCAGCACCTAGCCGACTCAGCACACCGGGGACAGGGCCACCCTCAATGATGGGAACTGCAGGTGCACGGCCATGTGCGGCAGGCAAGGTGAACTCCACTCGCAGACACCCGGTTCGCGGTGCTGTCGAGCACAGGCATGCAACTGCATGCAAAGTACAGAAGTGGCAGGAACTAGTTTGCTTCAAAAGGAAGGCAGAGCCTCCCAGTGCAAACTCCCCAGATCAGATGGGCCTAGTCGGCTTCTAGTCCTTTCCATCTGCATCCCTCTGCTATACAAAATCTCCTCTGCTCAAAGACGCAAGGGATATGCTGTCTGGAGAGCACCTGTCCACTGGCAAGATTGCTTTTTTCTTCTTTGTACACACGATGTACCTTTGAACTTGAGATGTGTAGCTGCCCTTTCTCTGCTTCCTGTTCCTTCCACCCATTCATCCCTTGCCTTCCCATTCTGCACAGGGCACTCTCAGCCAGAGAGAAGATCCTTCCTTTCTCCCCCCAGAGTCTGAGACCTCTAAACTTGGTTCTTTGGAAGGGACAGTGGGCTAGGACACCCAGGTCTGGCCTTTCAGGGACAGGGTGATCCCTGGGGTAGCCAACCCTGCCCACAATGGTTAAGATGACACAGCTTTGCTCAAAGCTGCTCGGGAACCCTCTGAGGTGTTTGGAGAGGCCCTTAAAAAAATCCCCATCTGATGGCTGAGGAGGTTAAGTCACTTGCCCCAGGACACATAGCTGGAGATCTGGGATGTAAAAATGTAGATCCAGGTAGCCAGAACCCTGAGCTCGCCCGTGGTGAGGCTCACTGTGCACCCCTATCCATGCACCCCTGTTCACTGCTCCCAGATAGACATGGCAGGCCCCCAAATGCTGGCCTGAGCCAAGGAGCCTGGGGGGGCAGCGAGGCTGCCTGGCGCCCCAGGTTAGGAAAGCATCAGGAAGGAAACATGGAAGGGAGGGCACATCAATCACCAAAAGAAAAAACCCCACGGAAACAACAGAGCAACAGTGAAGTCTACAAAACACCCGGAAAATGAAAACTCAGTCTCCAGATTTTTGTTCCTTAGCTACACATTCATGTTTGTTCTCCACAACCTTTTCTAAATTACATCAATTGCCTTTCAAAAAACAACAACAGAAAGTTTTGTAGAGAGGATTTAAATGCCCAAAGCGGGTGGAAAAAGAGGCAAAAAAGAGAGAGAGAGAGAGAGAGAGGGTGCATCATTAAGCAAGGAGAGAAAGACACTTTGAAAGTTCTAATTATCGGAGTCTGGGAATACACAACAATGGCCCGAGCAGTGGCGGCCGGCCGGCGCCCCGTGCATGTGAATGACACAAATGTGTGTGTGACCAGGGAGAGACATTTACAGAGCTGCGGTGAGACGGAGCAGGGGAGGAAGAGAGAGGGCACAGCTCCTGATGTGTTTACCTCCTCTGCTGATGGGATATTGACTTTTCCCACCAGGTTGGTTAGAAAGGGGACTATTTACGCTGCCACACAGCCGAGTTAGAATGACAACCAGCGTCACTCGGTGTTCTTCTTCGTAAAAGACAACTGTGACCACCAGCATATCCCATAGCCGGTCAATACGGCAGAGGCACCATTCCACGCCAGTTAGAGATGCAGATAAAGGCTCCTACTTGCTTCCCCAATGAGAATCGAATCAATAACGTTTGGAAGGTCTTCTAGGAAAAAGAACTGCACGAGCTGCCACAGGCTGCACTGGGGGTGGGAGTTGTGGGGAGAAAGGGCTCACCCCTTCTTTGTGGTTTTCCTCTCTCTGTGTTGGGCACCTGGGCCACCCACGTTAGGCTTCCATCACCCTGTTTCTCTTAATGCTACACTCACCTGCCACCTTACAACTCAAGGGAAAACAGGGTTAAATGGTGGAAATCAGTTAATGTAGCCGGTAGAAGCAGATTCCTTCTCTCTGCTCTGGTTCTGGGAGTCAGGGAAGAGGCCGTCAGGCAAGCAGCAGAGATGTGCAGCCATCCTGCCCCATCCACAGAGATGCCACAGGCCATAGCTGTTGCTATCTCAACAATCAGCACAAAAAAATCCAAACTTCATCCAGACAGGGAAGGAAATACTCTTCCTACACACAAGCGCATCAGTAAAATATACTCTAATAGACAGAAGTATCACCAAATCACTCATTGTAATACATCAACAAAGCAAATCTACTTTTCCTGGGAATAACATTTGGGGGAACATGTATCTACAGCTTTTTTACCCTTGTCCTGTCTACATGGGGATTCCTCAGGGTTATATACTCATTACCAAAAAATATCCTGTCCCCAAGCCCTGTGAAAACAATGAAAACCAAGTGAGCCTATACAGTCATTATTCACACAATGTTTTATCAGACAAGAAAATTAACTGCTAATTTAAAAGTTGGTTTCTACTAATTAAGAGTATAAAACCTCAAAATCATGCAAGCTACAGTATTTTCTATATGGGATGAACTAGACCATCATCTGCATGTTGAACTTGTCTGAAATATTTTATTTAAAAGTCAGTGGATCAAATAAGATGTCAGAACTGTTTTTTTTCCTAAATGGAGTATTCTCCCATCTAAGGAAACCATCTCTCGGATATTTTATTTCTGTGTCAGTAAACTAAAAATCTCTTTTCAGCTTTACTCTTTGTAAAAGCCTTTTTGGACTTAAAGAAACACACTGCACTACGAACCACAAGGCAAAGATATTTTAACATCGCCTACTGGTTATTTTATTTTAATTAAGGCAGGATTAGGCACACAGGCAGCAGTCGTCTCTGTTCTGAATGTCTGTTTCATTTATTTCTGTGCAAAGGTATCAAACAACAGTCAGTTATAATTGATTCTGTCAGGTGTTATACAGTCAGTCATAATTGTCTCTGTGTAGAGGTGTGTCAATTTACTATATCTGAATTAAATATTCTGTCAATTATGAAATCAGGTAATAATTTCAGTCAGTTTTTTAATTGCATGGCTTCCCACCATACCGTTCTCTGATTTCCCACCTTTTCTAATCCATAGCCTCCCTCCCTCAATGCAATGTGAGCTTTGCTGTAAGGGGCGGAACGCAGGAAGCTTTGGGAATCTTGAAAGAAAACCTCTTTACGATTTAAAACCATCCAACTCATAGAGAGCTATTGGAGCCTCTGGCCTGACTGTCTTTCTCCTGAATATCAATCAATAACCAAGTCTGGACAACACAGGGGATCTGAAAGATCTCAAGTGACATCCCTATTTCAAGACAAATACATTTAGGGCCGCAAATCAAATGACACGTATATAAACATTTCTCCATCCAAATAAGAAAGAAAAAAATATCATCTCCAACTGAATTCTTATTTAGAAAAAAATGTACAAGGCACAGTGCCAGGCACACACAGCATATGATGCATTCATCAAGTAATCAATGCCTAGAGGACCACTGTTGCCCATTAAATTACGTCTTAGATGCTAAAATATTTCTAAGATCTGAAGAGTCTCTCTGTTAATCTACTATATCTAGCTCCAGTCCTACTTATAAATAATTATCTTCCATTTTTTCTCTTCTTTTTTTGTTGATACCACAATACAGCCTTCAAACAGAATAAAATATCCATGGTTTCATTCAAGTGCTCTACTGGGCTGATCTGACAAGTATTTAGAAGTGTGATTATAATTCTCTCTGCCACTGGTCTGGTTCATGTTCAATAAACACAGCCTTGCTGCGCCTGTTGGTGGTGAGCAGTGCCCTTCCCTCTCCAAGCGAAGGGAGGCGCTGTCGGGCCCCATCACCAGGAAGAGCTGGTATGTGGAAGTTTGGAAAGAGCAGAGGGCGATGGAAGAGGGGAGGAGACGGGACGAGCCGACGTAAAGAATGCCGCGTCTAGAGTGAAAAATAGAAGGGGAGAGTCGTGCCCCTTACCATGTTTCAGTGGAGAAAGAGTCACCTTGAAAGAGATCAAAAATTTCCTTTCAACTGGATGAAGTGATTCTATCAGGGCTGGGTTTTGGGTGTTTGTATTTGTCATGTCGGAAGAAAATTGCCCATGCAGCCCCCTTGCTGAGGTTATAAAAAGTACTGTCAACCACACTGGACAGAATTTTTTTTTGGGGGGGGGGTTACAGAGAGGGGAAAAAACACATTGTGCAGGATCATTAAGCACTGTTGTATAAATAAAGTTAGAAGATCAAACGAAAGAGGGGACTCGGGTTAAATGCTGGAAGACAAGCTTAAATAAAGTTCTAAGAAAAAAGCAAGGCACGCTGTAATTCCAAGAACCTATTACTTCAGACAATTTACTTCAAAAAATAAAATCAGAATGGTAAATGATTACCCAAAAGCAATCATGTCATCATCACTGAGAGATGGAATAAAATAATTTTTTGTGAAGTGGCTGAATGAGAGCAACTTAAAAGCCACGGAGCCTGTCAGAAGCACATTATTTCTTTTTACACCCCGTTTCCCAATTCATCTCAGTGCTGCTGACTAACCTCGGCTCCCAGCAGGTGGAGCATTTAAAATAAATAGCATTTCCTACAAAACGCGCTCCAACTGCCCCATGACAGACGCTTCCAATTCCCGGCCAGCCACTGGATCAGCTTCAGCGGTATCTAACAAGGTGTAAATACAATAACAAGCATGTAATTAAGTGAGCATGATGAAGTTAATGGAGATAATTCATTCCATTTTGGGCTTATGAATATTCTATTAGATGTTATCAGGCAGCTGGAATAGCTGTTAATTTAATCATCATTCAGACCAGCAAAATGTTCTTTGTGCGAGCATAAT